AGGAGGGAGTGAGAGGGCAGGGCTAGGGGAAGGAGAGGGGTACTGAACGGCTTTCGTTCAGCAGATCCCAGTCTTAAAAAACGATCGCTGCCCAGTGCTCCAGAGCAAGGCACTCTCTTCCTTCCTCCACTCGTTTTTCCATATATGAACCGTGGATGGGAAAACGATTTCACCAAGCCGAAAGGCAGCATTGAGTTAGGCTCTGTGCAGGGGTGAGGGCTCTGTTAGGTTGAGCATCTTTTTTCTACCCCTGTGATGGGTTTTGTTAGTCTGCTTACCAGTTGCTAGGTATTTTTGTTTTGTTTTGTTTTGCGTGTTGCTTAAATCATTTTCATTGATGAGAGCATCTGCTGCCATCTGTGCCTCCCCTTCCCTCCCCTTGGCAGGGCTTACATGCAGCCGCAGTCTGGATGGAGAGCTTGTGCAGTGTTAGCCGTGTAACCTGCAGCACGGATCCTGCACAAGAGTGCTTGGGCACAAGGAAGGAGAGGAGACGGCTCTGCCAACACCCCCCTCTCTCCACCTACCCAGGCTATACCTGCCAGCTGCTGTGATTGCACCAGCTCCAAGACTGCTGCAGTGCCAAGGTCCCAGGCAAGATCAGGACCCAGTGGTACTAAGAAAGGACGTGGTTCCTGCTCCAAGAAGCCAACAACTGATGAGACAGAGAGTTGGAGGGGAAATATAGAGGTGAAGTGACTTCAGTAAAGACACCTAGGGGATGAGCACACGGCTGGGAAGAGAGGCCAGAGATGCGACCTGCTAGCAGCACAGCTCTGCCTCTTGGACCGCACCACATCGCGGACTGATCTCGGACAACAGGCAGCACAACAGAGGCCTTATGGATGCCGTGATGCCAGGGGCAGTGCAGCGCTCAGGAAGGAGAGCCAGGGTTATAATGGTACAGCTCAGTGCTGGGTTTTGTTAGTGATTTACACACCCTGCAGAAGAGCAGGAATGAAATGCAAACGATGTTGCGATTTGCATGTTTCTCCAATTGTAATTCAGGTATCCAGGGTGAAGGCTGTTCCGGCACTGACTCACCACGCTTGGCTTCGACACGAAAACACAGGCTATCAGCTCACCCCCATCGTGGGAACCAGAAGATGCCTGCGCAGAGCTGGAACATGGTTACCCGAGTCAGCTAGGAGCGCAGAGCTCCGTCTTGTCCTCTTTAATACCGCCAGCCCCCAAGACATAAGAGACCTGAGGGGTGACATTTACTGCTCTTAGAGCTTGCGTGTAGTAAATGTAAACCAGTTTATCCTAGCTGGGATTTGATCCCGGTGCCTGCAAACTGGCTCGACAGCATTTGCAGCAGAAATGGCATCGCCAAGCCCTGAGCACCGGAGGGTGGCCGGGGCAGAGCCAGGGGAGAGCAGTCGGGCCGACGTTGCGTAACTGCAGCTACACTTATTTGCACGCGAATGATGCACAGCCCTTGCACGACTTGGCCTCTCCCTGCCAGCGTGGAGGGGTAAATGTGTAACGATGCGCAGTATCGCGCATGTCACCTGGGCACGCGTACCCGGCTTTGCGCAAACATGCAAATCTCCCTGGAAGGGGCTGGACTTGTGTCCCCGCAACTCCGCTTTTTTGTTTGCACAGCACAGGAGCCACCCTCTTCCCATAACTGCACCTTGCACAAGCCCTCCCCAAAGCCAGTGCACAGGGTTTGTTTCCCAGAGGGCAGCTCGCACCTTCCCAGCAGCGAGGAGACAGCCCCGTGCGAGCAGCGCTCGTGGGCTGGGGCTCCCTGCATGGTGCCAGCCAGGAGGCCTCGGATGCTCAGTGCGGTGGATGGGCCCAGAGCCCCGCTCCTGGCTAGGCGCAGAGGGAAAAGTCCACCTCCTCCTCCTGGTGCCCAGAGGCCTCGGAGATGGATGGAAAGGCAGAGCAGCCCAGCTCCTGGGACTCCCATGGAGCAGTCTAAGGGGGCCCTCTACCTGTCTCCGGCAGTACGGCTTTCAGGGAGGGCTTTTCCTGCAGGAGGTTTAGCCTCAGCCTCTGCAGAGACAAAGACCTTCTCTTCCTTGCGAAGAAAAGCTGGACTGTACTTGCTTGCTTTCACCTCGTGAGAACTCACCCTCACCACTGTGACACCCCAGAAGTAAGGGAGATACCCGCGAGAGGCACGCAGGTTTTCTGCAGCATTTTACGGTGGTGCAAGCAGACCCTGGGCACCCAGGAGCGCGGCGGGACCACCTGGCCCTGCAATCTTTCCATCTCTCTGCAGTGCAAGCAAAAGCCAAACAGAGTCTCTTGCTGGTCAAAACTTCTCGATCGATGCCCTGCTCCCGCAGCCGGATCGCTGCGGTCGGAAGGGACCTCCGGGGCCACCTGGACCGGCCTCCTGCTCACAGCGGGGCGCTGCTGGAAGCGGAGCTGGTTGCTCGGGGCTTTGGCCAGTCGGGCCTTGAAAACCCAAGATTTGCGGCAACCTGTTCCAGCGCTGTGCTCGCACTGAGAATTCACTTCCTTGTATCCGACCGGGAACTCGATTTATGGCCGTCGCCTCTCGCCCTCCCACCGCGCGCCTCGCATAGGAGCTGCAGCGAAGGGCACCTCGGTGGCCCTGCCCGGGACTCGCACCCAACGCCCTTCCTGTGGCCGGCCACCCCACACCAGATGTGGTATTTTAGGCGCAGACTAACACACGTCGGCGCCAGGGAAATAATTACCCCCGTCCCTCCCGCAAATGAAAAAAAGAAATCCTCATCAGCCTATCGAGCTAACTTTCCTGAAGGAAACTGCATTTTCACATGGAAACGTGGCCATCGTTTCTTCCTGATATCGAAAGACGTCTCAAGCGTTGGACTGTTCCCCCTCCCCCTCCCCCCCAGCTCGGTTTCGGGTTTTTTGCTGCCGAACGCGACAGAGGCTGCGTCTTCACAGCCAAAAAAAGGTGCGATTTGGAGGCGGCTCCGGGCAGTTTTGAGCGGCAGAGGCGGCAAGGCGGAGAAGCCGCCCTGGAAACCAGTCCTTCTGTCGCGTTCGGCATCAACATTGGCAAAGCCTGAAATTCCAGAGCTTTCCTGCGCAATTAAAAAAAAAAAAAAAAGGCTGTTCCTTTTGCTATCCCTTGTTCCCTTGAAAAGGAGGAGGAGGGGGAAAAAAAAAAAAAAGGTCTTCTCGATCTGTTTGTGATGTGTAATATAGCAACGAGCCTTTTACCTGTGTGGATCCGCACTTAAAAGAGCCTCGCCCGAGGGAAACGGCACCTCTCCCTCGGCAGCATGGCGGCCGGAAGTGCCAGGCGGCGCGCACCCGTTGCTACCGCCTCCT